TATATATACTACTATTCCCTACAGCTGTGTTTAATCGATTATTTCGCAATCTGTTTAAACAAAAAGAAACTGGTAACTTTAAAGCAAGCGTAAAAAGTTGCTTCCTTTCGGTATCGCATTATCGTTAAACGCGATCGATTCGTTTTGCTAACGCCAGTGAAACGCAATCTCTCACGATCGACAATTCTGCAGAACAACAATAAAATGATCGTAAATATTATTTAGCACGGCAGAGCCTTTTGCACGGCCATCTCGCGTCATTAAGTATTCTTGAGAATCTGCACGGAAAGATCTTCTCCCATTTCGAATCATCTGCGTTCAATTATCAATTATATATAATTTGTAGATACCTAATAATGATAGTATTAAAAAAAAAATAAGTTTAGATCTTCAAACTTTAGCCGAAAATAATTCTGTATTCTTCATTTTATTATTTATGCTTTCACGATGCTTTCATGCTTTCAATCACTTAAGATTTTTTTATTCTTCATTCGAACGTGACTCCTAGAATTCTTGTTTTTCTTATTATCATCTTTTAAAGATTTTTTTTTTGTGTCAAAATTGTAATATAGGAGTTGATCATCTCGTTAATTATAATATCGATATTGTTAATCCTTTATTATTTCTTAAAGCACTAAAATAGTCCATGTTAATAAGACACGATCTCTTCATTGTAACAAAACGTATAATAGCGAAGAAAGAGTTATTAAAGAATATTACTGCATATGTATGTGCAGCATAAGAAGTAGACTGCTAGATAGACGTACGATATATTATGTCGATCTTTTAGTACCTAGGACACGCTAAATACTTTTCTAATGACATATAGATATCTTCTAAGCATAGCAATGACGTATTTGTCGTGTTGGACTCGAATGATGAGCCATCGAACAAATAAAATGACATCATTAGGAAGTCAGAACTATTTTCAGCAGAGATTTGAGGATCTAAACTCACTTATTTTTTCTTAAATACTACTATTATTATCTACAAAATTATATATTAATGATTAGACACGAATGGTCCAAAATCTTTATGAAAATGGGCAAATCTTTTTGTACACTCAATGTATCTCGTGTTGAAGAATATATCTAGATGAGAATTCATTCATCCGTTTCTCTCAAAATGACGACGAAACACGACATGTCTCGACCTCGATGTAGCGAAAACGGGGGCGATTCGCCAAGTGGGAAAGAAGCCCGTTCGCCAAGTAGGAAAACCAAGTGGAACGGACCAAAACGACGTCCAGACCAACCAGAGACCACCTGTTGATTTGCTGGTCAGATTCTCCACTTCCGTTCTTCACACGGTCCCATATAGATGACCCGATTCAATATATTGAACCATAAACCATTGTTTTCTCGTTTAACAAAAATAATAATTTCAGCGCAATTTAAAATTCATATCATCTTTGTTTTTTTTTGTTATTAACTCATATTTAAAATTACAAAACACAAAAATTTTAATTTATTAATTAATAATACATTTTAGCTTATTTACTCCTTTATTTTCTTCCGATAATATTTCAATGAATTGGAAATATCTGTCTCATTTTCAATAATACTAGGAAAAATGCAAGATATCTCAATTTAAAAAATTAAAAGATAAAACAAAAAACAGGAAACGAGACTAATAAATCTGAATAATAATATAAGAATGATAAAAGATAGAGACCATCGAATGGAGAACGGTAGTTATATCTGGTCGTCGTTTCGGTTTCGACGAGTCACGTGTATTAATCGTTATTTGGTGCTCAGAAAAGTGAGAGAAAGTTACTCTACCGAGGTGCTCGCCTACAGTCCTGTCGTATTTAAATCCTGTCGGTAGCTTCGATATACCGGGAGGCTATGAAATATCGCGATACTACATCGTAGCGTTTCTCAAAAGTAGATTATAAATGCTCGATAACGTTGTAAAATTTAAAATTAACATAAACAAACGCAATTGTATGTTGCCTTACATTTACACCTATAAATGAGGTCTGGAATAAAAAAAAAGTAAAAATCGAAAAATTTAATAAAATTAATGCAATGAAAAATTGATCAACATCCAGAGCGAGGTTGCTGGATTATTTTTAATTTCTCACCTCGATTGGAATTTATCTAATTGTTTTAATGAAACATAATATGGTTCATAGTTACGACGACGCCGTCGCTGATAAGATATACTAACAAGATATATTAGATAACAGAAATCTATGGATTTTATACCTTATGATAGACTAAATAAATAAAGAAAAAAATGTTTATGCTTATCATTTAGCCGCGTTCTTTCCTACATCAGAAAATTGCGACACAACGTGACTTGTTTTTATAATTATTAATGTGTTTTGTAACGCGAAATATCTTTATACATATATAACTGTGCTAAAATTATTCTTTATAGACACGAGAGATTCTCTCTTCTCTTTTCTTAAATAACATAACATAGCTTCAACACAGATTTTCAAGCTTATCTGTCGTTTCGTTTATAAATATACATTTAAAGTTTGCACATGGTCTCCACAAATACGAATGCAAATATTAATTTAGATAATGGCGTTGTCTTACGTATGTAGACCTGCCTTAAGTGCAATTTCTAAATAAATGTGATTTTCACAACAAACAAATCATAAGGCTTACAAAGTGAATAAAATAATTAGGTAATAAAATGCAATAATTTTATTTAGTCTTTTACTATCTTTTTATAAATTCTTGTCATTATTTTTAATTTTCAAAAAGGAAATTTCTGAACGCATTATGAAATCTTAACCACGTCTACTGAATATATTTGAACAGATTAAATCATTGTTAATTTCGATCGCTGTTTGCTGGGTATTTTTGTATGCCATTAAATCTCTTTCTTTTATGACTCAGCTAATGTTTACTACACAGCAAATTTTTCTATTCCAATTAATTGGTGAGTTAGATTATTTCGGATTCTTTCGATATGATTACATACTTGTTTTTCGAAAGTAATATTCTAAATAATATTTTAATAAATAGATTGACAAAGGCGTTAGTCTCTCTCGATATTTGCATTATTTTAAGTCAAAATCGTATTCTTTAAACGAATGATACGAATAATATTTGTTTCAATTTTTATATTAAATTTATATCTATTACCAAATATAAGCTCAGTGTCATTATCATTTCTTTTATCACATATATTGGGAAATGTGTCGTTGTGCAACATATGTGATTGTGCTCCACTTTCTCCTTTCATGGTTCACACAATTGACACAATTCCGCTCAACGCGGAATTTGAGTAAAGAACAGATAAAGATTTTAAATAAATTATAATAATGTTCAATTTCTTTCGATATAAAAGATTAATAAGTAAATATCAATATATATATATATCAATATGTATGTCTAATGGATACAGTGGTTTTACAGGTTCTTGATTCTTAGAATGGGGTAGCCAGACGCGACACGATTCATTGATCGTAAGACTGCTGGTCGCCGCCTTGCTATTCTACGTATTTCTCACTTACGAGACAACCGCCCACAGCATATATAGATTTGCAATATTCCGTCACAATATTTCGTAAATATAATTATACGAGAAAGAAAATTTTTGCTTGTCACAGATTAAAAATAAATTTTAAATTATTATTTATTAATAAATTACAAGTCTTGTAATCTATTGACTGTTTAGCCTTTATTTTTAAAAAATTAGATTTTTCTAGAAAGATTTAAGAAATGTTTAGTATAATAATATAATATTTGATGATAAAAATTGCATAACATCATGTTCAATACACTTCTTTACACACACAGATTTATGTTACATATAAAATACATATTTATACGTAAGAGATTTGTAAGAAAAGAGATTTTCTTAACTTCTGGTTGGTCCAGAAAGTAAAGTTTTCGATGCGACGAGAAAGTGACTCACACAATTAACGCCTTGAGATCACCGTGTATATATCTCTTTCTTATTTCGCGCGTATGTAAAATTCAAATGATGCATTCACGGATTATCAAGAATCTCTTTCGAGAAAATTCGTCAATCATGAAGAAGTAACTTGATTACATAATCGAATGTTCTATGTTTGCACTCAAAGTTACAGATTGAAAGAACTCTGCATCTTTCATTTTCTTTATCTGCAGCTTGAAAGCGCGTAAAACAAGTATATGTGTTTTGCGCGGATGTAATGCGTGACGAAAACATATACAATTATAAGTACGAGTTATGTTGAAGCGTTATAGTAAATTCGAATTCCTTTTTCACAAGCCATGTTGCTTCTTGAGGTGCCTCTCGAACGAACTATTTCAACTGACCTACTTATCAATGTGTTATCGATCGTAGTTTTCATTATAATATAAAATATGTTTGAAATAGATACGATAACACACAATAAGCACACACATATTTTTTAAAAATATACCGTATTTTTTAAATTCACTGTATCATCATATATTGATACATGCATGTATGCATCAATATTTATAATTTGTTTTTATA